GGGTGACCTTATAAAAGTCTATAAAATCATGAGGGGCATGGATAGGATGAATAGCCAAGATCTTTTTCCCAGGGTAGGGGAATCCAAGACTACAGGGCATAGGTTTAAGGTCAGAGGGGAAAGATTTAAAAGGGATCTATGAGCCAACATTTTCACGCAGAGGGTGGTGCATGTATGGAATGAGCTGCCAGAGGAAATGGTGGAGGCTGGTACAATTACAACATTTAAAAGGCATCTGGATGGATATATGAATAGGAAGGATTTAGAGGGATATGGGCCAAATGCTGGCAAATGGGACCAGATTAATTTAGTACATCTGGTCTGCATGGGCGAGTTGGATTGAAGGGTCTGTTTCCAAGCTGTATATCTCTATGACTCTCTCAATGACCTCTTGAGCATCCCCGATTTTAACTTTCCCACCAATGGTTGCTGAGTCTCTGCGAATCCCTTGCTAACTCTCTGCATCTGTATAGACACAGAAATAAAAGGTGTTGCTTTCATATGGATAATCAGCAAGTTTTGCAATATTACCAGAACTACTACATTGGTCATTTTCATATTGCTATTTATTCTGGTTTGCTGTGGGCGTATTAGTGGTCAACGTTCCTATAGTGTAATGTTGGCAAGTCTTTCAAACTTACTTTATAGGCTGAAAATTATTTTGAAATATTCTGAGTTTATGAAAGTCAAAATAAATATTTATGTGGCAGTTCAAAAGCTTATTAAAAATGGTATTTCACATTATTCACAGTTATGCAACTGCACAGAATTTATATTTTGATGTATACGCAAACATAGATTCGTGGTGAATGACTTTGAAAGTGGCTTTACTGCATAAAATGTGACGGTCCTCATCAATATGATGTCGGTAATTCAAACTGTGAACTCAGAACAAATGATAAATAAGATAGATAACGCATAATAAAGAAGTGCAGTGGGTCATCACGATTATCTACAGAAGCCCATTTCTCGTGATATATGTCCTCCAGTCAAAGCAGAGATAAAATGAAGTGTCTCGTATCAAGAGTGTTCTGGATTTTTTTCCCAGCTTCATCATTTAAGGAAAAGGTCAACAAAGCACCAAAACAACAAACAGCAAAAGTGCATCTCATAGAGATGTACAGCACAGAAACAGACCTCTTGGTCCAACTTATCCATACTGACCAGATATCCTAAATTAATCTGGTCCCATTTGCCAGTATTTGGTCCATATCCCTTTAAACCCTTCCTATTCAAGTACCCATCCAGATGCCTTTTAAATGTTGTTATCGTACCAGCCTCCGCTACTTCCTCTGGCAGCTCATTCCATGCACGCACCACCCTCTGCGTGAAAAATGTTGGATCATAGATCCCTTTTAAATCTTTCCCCTCTCATCTTAAACCTACGCCCTCTAGTTTTAGACTCCCCCAACCTGGGAAAACCCCTTGTCCATTTACCTATCCATGCCCTTCATGATTTTATAAACTTCTATAATGTCACCCGTAGCCTCTGACACTCCAAGGAAATAGCCCCAGTCAATTCAGCCTCTCCCTATAGCTCAAACCCTCCAAGCCCTGGCAACATCCTGGTAAATCTTTTCTGCACCCTTTCAAGTGAATCCTTCTCCCCTGCACCAGCTACTCAGCTGCACGTTCATCTGCTCTATCCTCCTATTCCTACCCTCACTAGCTTGTGGCACCTGGAGTAATCCAGATAGTATTACCACCAAGGACCTCCTTTTTAAATCCCTGCTTAACTTCCTTCTCTCTTCCTATGTCATTAGTTCCAATGTGTAGAACATCTTCCTGCTGGTCCCTTTCCCCTTTGAGAATATTCTGCACCCTCTCAGAAATGTCCTTGATTCTGGCACCAGGAAGGAAACACACCAATCTGATGCCTCGCTGTCAGCCGCAGAAACATCCGTCTGTGCCTCTGACTAGAGAGTCCCCTATCAGAATCAAATTGCTTGGAATCTGATGTACCTCTTCTTAGACTGGAGCCAAACTCGATACCAGAAACCTGGCGGTCAGTGCTACATTCCCTCGAGAGTCCATCACCCCATACGTTTTCCAAAACAGCATACCTGTTTGAGATGGGGATAGCCACAGGAGACTCCTGCACTACCTGTTTCCCTCTCCTACCTTTCCTGGAGGCAACTCATCTACCCGAATGTATCTTCGGTTTATCTCCCTTCCTACAACTGCCATCCATCACATTCCCTAGCTCCTGTAAATTCCTCATTGCCTTTAACTGCCGATCCAACTGATCCACGTGATCCGAAAGTTTAGAATATTGCCCAGCAATCTTTATTAACTTACACTTCCTGACCAGTTAGTGGCACAAAAACCTGCTGCATGGTGTTTTCAGCGTCATTTCACTTACCTTAGGCTCAGATATAATACAGCACACATACTGGAGAATTACCAATAACAATGCTTCTTACTGTATGGGACCCCAAAATCATTCTTGATTTCAACTAACGTTTCATGACAATACATATTTACTGAAAAAAACATTCAAATAACAAATACATGACTTTGTTATTCAAAAAAAAACTGAAGCACAAGTACAGGCTTAGCCACTGAAGTATGGGAATGGTATTTGACAAAAAAAGGCAAGGAGGAACAGAAGAAATAGATAACAACATTACAATGAAACAAAATTAGGCACTGAAATAACTGCATTAAATGCAGTTTAAAGCCATTGTAGAGGCACACTTGTAATGCCAAGGCTTTTGTTTCTAAGCAAATCCAGAAACCTTAATCTATTATGGAAACAAATGTTTATTCAGTGCCCACAAAGATAGCTCATCCTTTCATAAGGTCTTTAATCTTTCAATCAGAAATTGCTGCTGAGATAAGTGCTGTTGTATATTCGGCCTAGCATTCACAATAATTTCAGCTATAACAACAGTTATTAGGAAATACCAACAAAGAACTCCATTGAAGCTGTGGAACAGGTATTGATGTGTATTGCTACACCAGGTGGTCTGTCAATCAAAGCAGCCCAACAGATTCATTTTTTAAAATTCTCTCTGAAATTGTAAGATTTCATTCAAGTTTAAAGAACTGCGGATTTTTTTTAAAAATTGTGATAATTAAATGGACCTTTTCACACTTTAAGAGTGCTTGTATCTACTCCTTGATTCATGATTCTCACACTGTGGATTAAGCCCTCAGAACAGCGAAAATGGGCTTGATTTGAACTTGGCACTAATTTCAAATGGCTTTGCTGAACTTGTTTTTCCAAACCCTGCTCCCTTCCCCCTGGAAAGAATTGGATTGTTGGGAAAATGAGCAGGGCCTCTCCACCTAAGTCTTGCATGCCACTTTTAAAGGTTACAGGAGATGTCCCAACTCCATGAAAATCCAGCCCTACGTCTCTTTCTTTCTTTCTCCACACCTGCCTTCTCCATGCCACAAATTCCTTAGGAGCACATGACTTCACAGAACTGGGAATTAACCATCACCATCCATTGATTCAAAGTCAAATAGGACACAAACCTCACTTTACCAGATATCTCTATAAAGCACCAATTGCCAAAAATGTCTCCATCACTCTCATCAAATTCTCCATCTTCACCATGGGTAAGCTATTTAACACGTTTACCACTGTTAATGTGATGAAGCTACATTGTTAATTAGCGTGATCAACTTTTCTAATCTAAGGTGTTCCGCTAGCATTCATGCTCAAGATTGGGTTAAAATTGATCATTCAAGGATCTAGTTCATCTGTAACCTTGCTTAACTTAAATACTGCAATAACTTCCTCTACGCCTACAGACTACCCAGCATAAATATGCCTAGCAGCCGGCTTTTTTGTAGCTCAGTTTGTCTCATTTAATTCGTCATGGGTGCCCTGCCTTCCATAGGGGCAGTCATTCTGTGGTATGATGTCTAAAACAATAGTTAGAAGTTATACAACACCAGGTTCTAGTCCAACAGGTTTATTTCAAACTACAAGCCTCCAAAGTGCTGCTCCTTTGTCAGTTTCAGGGATTTATATTCACTCCTTCAGAGAATCATTATTAGAATCATGCCTGGCTTACCATTACTGCACAGGGTACCAACAGCTTACAGATATTTTCCATGAATAGTCATTACAAGGGATCATTCGTAACCCTGCCTCTCCGCATAACTCATAATGCAATGGCACAAGCAAGAGCACCAAAAGCTACTTCATTCGTCCTCCAACATTCAATAATTTGGTGAAAAATAACTTGAGATCAATTTATGTGATTTTTCAAGATGCTGTCAAAGCCAGATTTGTTCTTCACCCCAATTGTTGCAAGAAAGTGGATGGTTTTGTTCTTGTTTGTTCTGACAACCAAGTGGCTTGTTAGTTAACTAATAGTGTATAGATGACAATTTTTGAGATTAATTTTATTAGCCTTCCGGATTACACTAAGTATGTAAAATTGGCATAGACCATGAGAATTGCCTTAATTATTAAGGACCAGCATAATGAATGTGTGATTAATATATTGAATGTATACACAGACGCTACATTATTCTTGCTAATTGGCCCATGCATGTTGTTTTATTAGGTTTTGTTTAAAGAAACAGTAATGCGAGCATCTATGAAGTTACATAAAAACACACAGATATGACTGAAGAATTAGGCCACGTGGCCCAACCAATCGAAGTTACATGCCCCCAAGCAAGAACGAGGTTTAATAAGCAATATGTGTTAACAAAATAGACTGTAAACATTTAATTGCAACCAACAAGTACAGTTCAACTGAACAACGGCTACCTCATCAAGCTTTTGCTCCTTAGAACAGCATAAACAAAACATACATCAACCTCCGAGTCATTCACACAGCACATGTTTAGACAGCTGTGCTGAGCAATGAGTTCATCATATCATCAAAATAATGGGCTTATTTGCATAAAGATGCCATAAATGGTCAAAGCTTGAACTTTGTAAAATGATATACTTCAGCAAACTGCAACCAATGCAGCCAATTAAACAAAAATATTAAGGCCATCTCTGCACGATGTAAACAATCTCTACTTACAGACTTCCTCTGCGTGGAAGGCTCAATTCCTTCTGTAAAAGAAAAAGAAAGTGGTAATTTAAAGCAGTTATAACATCACCAGCTTCGTTGTTTTTGACACCGAAGATCAATAAGCTTAACTTTTCTGTTTGCAATCGAGACTGCAATGAATGTAACGAGGTCAGCCAGTTGGACCTCATTGAATTTGGGTTCCCTGATTGGAGCTGTTAATCTGGTGCAATCAGGGAGCCCCGGCTGACAGATATAAACAGGAGCGTCAGAGGCTCTGTTCACTGAGAACTGGCTCTGAGGAAGCCGGACCAGTGTCAAGTACTATGCACTTGTAAATAAAGGATGAGGGATTACTGGTCTCTGGGCATTTATTTCAGAGGGCAACAGCTAGAATCTAATCATAAAATTCAGGGAGCGAGTAACATGCCCACATAGAGTTTTTAAAAGGTGTATGTCTTGAGTGTACAGCTTATGCAGTAGATGTCTTAGGGGCGGCACGGTGGCTCAGTGGTTAGCACTGCTGCCTCACAGCGTCAGGGACCCAGGTTTAATTCCACCCTTGGGCGACTGTCTGTGTGGAGTTTGCACATTCTCCCCGTGTCTGCGTGGGTTTCCTCCGGGTGCTCCGGTTTCCTTGCACAGTCCAAAGATGTGCAGGTTAGGTGGATTGGCTAAGCTAAATTGCCTGTAGTGTTCAGGGGTCTGTAGATTAGGTGGGTTATAAGGGGATGGGTCTGGGTGAGATGCTCCAAGGGTCGGTGTGGACTTGTTGGGCCGAAGGACCTGTTTCCACACCGTAGGGATTCTATGATCTATGATCTATGTCAGTAATATTTTAATCAAACCACTGCCCTGTTTCAACCATGACCTTACATCAGCATTTTAGTTAAAATTACTTTGAAGAAATTGCTGAAATAGTCCACAGCATCAGGAAATGGAATTTTTAGCTCTCAGTTTGTTTAACCTCCTTATGAGTACATATTAAAGTGAGTGGCCACTGACAAAAAAACAATCATACAAAGTGAAATACTTCCCACATTTTATAAGGCAGCATTACTGTAGAAGGCTCCCTACAGTGGTGCATTCCAGATTAAGAAAGTCCTGGGTGTGAACCATTCTCTGATCTACATTACCCAATTTCAGCTGTAGGTATAGTGGAGAGCCATGATGGTAGCCAGTAGCCCCATTAGATTGGAGGCAGAAGAAATGTCATCTGGGATTCTGCTTTTCTTAAATCGCCATCTAGTGGTTTCTACCTGAATATGCACATTGTGCTGAGTGTAGTAAAGGCAAATTCAATTTGCTTCTCCAGAAGGTTTTGGATACTCAGCTGAGAAGAAAATAATTTGAAACCCTAAAGGGAGGAAAAGTGCGACTAGCTAAATTGATCGTGCAGATACCCAGCATGGATTTCTAAGTCCAAATAACCTCCTTCTGTGCTGTGAACATATTCCACCATTTAGTTCAGCCAATCCCTTTCCTTCCACCATGATCAGGCAGAAGACGACAACTCTTTGGTTGAAATACCAGATGGCTATCACGCCTTTTTAAGCCATACTCCTAACATGAACCAGCTTCTTCACAAAAGCAGAAGGAAGGGGAGAAGTGTAGAGGAAGAAAATAAGGTGAAAAGTCTTCAGTCATATGATAACGTACACATCACTATGTCTAATGGGCAATTAGAGATGGGAATAAATGCTGGCCCAGCCAGACAGGTCCTCTTCCCATAAGTGATTAAAAAATGCAGTGCTGACATACCAGAGTACGACGGGGATCCGTTCATTTATTGCACCCTCCTGGTGTCTCAAATGTATGTAAATATAGTTTTATTTAAGTAATAAGTGCCTTGGGTTTGTTTGCTCTAAATATGTAAAGACTGTCTTCAAAACCGAACGCTCCAGTGACTACGTATGTATATAAAGTTTTGCTTTTATGAATAAAGTTTATCATTGAAATAAAACAGACAGATTTGGGAGACAGGTAGAAATACAAGTCGAATCCTTTATCCGAAAACCATAGCATCATCTGGTTTTTAGATAAAGGATATTTTCAGTTTTCTGATACAGGTCCATTCCAGTCCTTTGGAAGGAAAATCTTCACTTGGTCCAAATGGACACGAATGGGTCAAAAAGCAAAGTCTCTTCCCAAAGGGCCCAAACTCAGCATGAATACAGGCTCATTTGAGACTGCTTTCAAAAAGGCCTTCGGTTTTTGGGTGCTTTTGGTTTTCAGACATGCAGAGAAAGGATTCCTGACCTATGTACCCACCACCACTAGGGACTCAGTCAGAAATTATATACATGCATCACCAAAAAGTTGTTTGAGTGCTTCAGTTCAGGGTCACACATCAGTTTATTCTCAAACACCAGGAATGCTGAAATCATCAGGATCTGTACTGGGAAAGATTATTCGAATCAACTGAAATTAGGTTCAGGCAGCTATAAGTTGAAAAGATGGATGGAGAAAGAAAGCCATTGTCAAAAGGAGAGAACCTCCATTGATCAAGTCCTAAAATTTCCACAGACCATTGGGAAATGGACACAAAGATCACACGAGTTTGCAGACTCACTCTGCTGTCACAATAGCTGCGTCCATACAATTACGTATACGCCAGTCTCTAAATTTGCATCTGCCATCTCCTTTCAGGTTACCACAAGACTATTGAGCAATATCAGGCAGGGACCTGTCAGTCAGAGTGTGCATCATGCAGGTGACAGACGAAGCCCTCTTTCATACAGCAGCAGGGTTCCTCCATGTGAACATTACACCAGGAATCTCTAGATTCTTGCATTAACCAAGCTATTGAATGCCACAACATTGTACACTGAACGTACCACAAGGATGCCACTACAGGTGTGAATTTCACAATTTAATACATCTCAATCATTTGATATCTCAAACAGTGACCCAATTCTTCCTTAATGGTTCCACTTCAGCCTGGTCAGCCTCAAACACATTCACCACTCTGAGTAAGGTATTAAGATCTCAACTTGTCCGCACTCTTTCTCTGTACAATCTAATGCTTTCTGGTTCTACAGCCTGTGGAAATCTCAAATAACCGGAAAGAGACCATGAGCCTGCCTATCATGATACGGTGCAATTGCTACTTACCATCACCACCATTCCATCAGCAACCCATACCCTCACGGAACCCAAATAGCTATCAATTTCCTGGGCAGAGTGAAAGGAAACAAAAATTTAGTAGAACACCCAGAGAAAGCAGTAGGAGAGTAATACTGTAAATGGCTCGTAATCCAGACACCCAGGCTAATGGGGTCAGATCCCACTATGGTAAATGGTGAAACACAGTAGATAAGAGCTGGAGTAGGCCATTTGACCTCTAAGGCTGCAGTGCCATCCAATAAGATCATATCTAATCATCAAGCTCAATATCACAATCCTGCTCTCACCCAATAACCCTTGATCTCTTTAGCCACAATAGCTATATCCTTGAAATACAATGTTTTGGCCTCAACTACTTTCCATGGTAGCAAATTCCACAGGCTCACTACTCTCCAAGTGATCTGGTGGGCCTAAAAGTAGATCATTCATCCAGCCCTGCAGATTTTCATCCCAGGTTGTCGAGTGATGCCAGGGAGTAAATAGCAGGCAATTATTTTAAATTCCACTCTGGCCGCAGGAGAAGTAGCAGAAGATTGGAGGACAGCCAATGTGGGACTGTTATTCAAGAAGACAGGAAGGGGAAAAACCAGGAATCTACAGTTCAGTCAGTCAGTCTAACATCAGTGGTGGGGAAACTATTGGAAGCAATTCTGAGGGATAAAGTTAGTTTGCACTTGGAGAGGCAAGGATTAATAAAGAAAGAACAGTCAGCATGGGTTAGTGAAGGGGAGATCACGTCTGACCAGCATGATTTTTCGCAAGGGTGATGTGGTGTGTGGATGAGGGCAATACATTCAACATTGTCTACTTGGGCTTCACCAAAAGCTTTGATATGGTTCTGCATAGGCTGTTGTAGTTCAGATGCTGAAAATTAGGTAATAGTTAGATTGCCCTTTTCTACACTACCTCAAATCCCTTGTCAAATTTGCTATACTATGGTGACCAAACGTATATACAGTATCCTTGGTGCAGTTACATCAGTACCTTTGAAAAATTGTGCTCTCTTCCTATATGTTCTTAAGTTGATTATTGATACCAAACGACGTGCTATTGGATTCAATGAACAAAGAAAATTACAGCACAGGAACAGGCCCTCCAAGCCTGCGCCGATCCAGATCTTCTTTCTAAACCTGTCGCCTATTTTCCAAGGATCTGTATCCCTCTGCTCCCTGTCCATTCACGTATCTGTCTAGATACATCTTAAATGATGCTATCATGCCCGCCTGTACCACCTCCGCTGGCAACGCGTGCCAGGCACCCACTACCCTCTGCGTAAAGAACTTTTCCCCTCTCACCTTGAAATCATGACCCCTAGTAACCGAGTCCCCCACTCTGGGGGAAAAAGCTTCTTGCTATCCACCCTGTCTATACCTCTCATGATTTTGTAGGCCTCAATCAGGTCCCCCCTCAACCTCCGTCTTTCTAATGTAAATAATCCTAATCAACTCAACCTCTCTTCATAGCTAGTGCCCTCCATACCAGGCAACATCCTGGTGAACCTCCTCTGCACCCTCTCCAAAGCATTCACATCCTTTTGGTAATGTGGCGACCAGAACTGTACGCAGTACTCCAAATGTGGTCGAACTAAAGTCCTTTTCAAGTGTAACATGACCTGCCAATTCTTGTACTCAATACCCTGTCCGATGAATGAAAGCATGCCGTATGCCTTCTTGACCACTCTATCGACCTGCGTTGCCACCTTCAGGGTACAATGGACCTGAACACCCAGATCTCACTGTGCATCAATTTTCCCCAGGGCTTTTCCATTTACCGTATAGTTCGCTCTTGAATTGGATCTTCCAAAATGCATCACCTCGCATTTGCCTGGATTGAACTCCATCTGCCATTGCTCCGCCCAATTCTCCAATCTATCTATATTCTGCTGCATTCTCCGACAGTCCCCTTCACTATCGGCTAT